AGCGTGAAGTCGTGTATGGCGAATAATACAGGACTCATTCTATGGTTTGAAAAAATGACGAGATCTCAAATAAGCCTGCAAGGATAGATGTCCTAGAAGGACAATTACGGGTAGGCCAACAACCCATGCTAACTAGTCTTGCCTCCCTTCCTAAGAGAGAGGGAGCGCAGTGGGACCAAATGATTCTCACCCCCGGAAGTGGATGAATCCCCAACAATTGAATCCGGTTAGCACTAGTATAAATGGGATCCCACCTGATCCATCTCATAAAATAATTCCGGATTATGGATTCGACCTGCAGACGAAGTCTGGGACGCCTCGACATTAATATTCATTCCCGTGAATAGGAAAAACTCGGTTATTTATTCATGCATGAACGAGATGTGGTATTGGGATGAAATGATCATCGATGATAAACTTCCCTACGCAGTAGCTACTGAATGTATTAATGAGTGATGATATAAAACCTCGATCAATTGATAAGTGTAAACAAAGGGATGATGGCCGAAATGAAAAAAAAAAAAAAAAACAATCCAAGCTGAATTTGATTCCTTGATAAAATGAAGAGTGTAGAGACCAGTAGTTCGTACAACTCCTTGAATTTCACTCATGAGATATAAGTGAGTACTCACAAAGAAAAGATACGAGATTGGGAGCCAAAAAGCTCATCTCATACCTCAAATGAGATTGGGAACCAGAAGATTCATCTCATAGCTTAAACAAGATTGGGAGCCAGGAAACTCATCTCATAGCTCAAGGAATGAAATGAGATTGGGAACCAGAAGATTCATCTCATAGCTTAAACGAAATTGAGAGTCAGGAGACTCATCTCATAGCTCAATGAATAAAAAGAGATTGGAAACCAGAAGATTCATCTCATAGCTTAAACGAGATAGGGAGCCAGAAGACTCATCTCATAGCTCAATTAATGAAATGAGATTGGGAACCAGAAGATTCATCTCATGGCTCAAATGAGATTGGGAACCAGAAGATTCATCTCATAGCTTAAACTAGATTGGGAGCCAGAAGACTCATCTCATAGCTCGAACGAGATTTGGAGCCAGAAGACTCATCTCATAGTACAATTATTTTTGGGAAATGAGATTGGGAGCTCGAAGACTCATCTCATAATTCAAGGATTTCCTCAATAACCCGAAATTGATTTTAAAGAGGTATACTATCTCATGATGAATGTTATTAAATACGTGGTCACAAAGTATCTAATGGGAATCTAGATACAATTTTTTATATGAAAGTTCCAGAAGGACTTCGATTTCCCAAAGCAATTAGTTCCAGATCACAGAACATAAACTCAGTTGGGCTGAGACGTTCACTTTAATTATGACTAGAAATATTCCAGAAGAATACATGATAATTTCTTAAGTGAACAATTGCTTGGAAGAGAATAGGTGAACAATAATTGGTTTTTGATTGTTCCTATTACTACAATTTATATTAAGGACATGAACTTGATTTGGACTACTGAAGAAGTCAAGTAAGAAAAACAGAATTGTTGGAAATTTGAGTTAAATATCAAAAATCTAAAAGAGACTAATTTGTTGTCTCTACCAACTTAAAATTTATCATGTCAATTATATTTATGTCCATCAATCGAATTACATCGAGAAGATGTTATGGATAAAGAGAATTTATCGAGTAACACCTATGGGAGTTGGAAAGTGGAATAGATCCAATGATTCATTCCGTCCCATGGAGAAGGACGAGGAAGTGTTAGCACCAGAAGTGCCATATGTAAATGCAATATATGCATTATTATGCTTAACTCCATGCACTCGATATGATTTAGCTTTTCGGTAAATTTATTAGAAAGACTTATCACACCTTACCGACACGCCCTATGCATCAATGAATGAGGCGAAACTAGTGGTTTATATTGGCATCGACTAGAAGTCATATCCACCCAAAGCTCGTTCCCAATTCATGGTTTAGCATTGGGAAAATAGCTATGTATTGGGGTTCTATGAAATGTACCTCAGTAGTCACTAGATCAAATCATGTATGATGTTTCCTTCACGAGATAGTGAGTGAATGCACATGGCCTGAAGCCATGATTAGGCATGTTCGAGATTCATGTGAATTGACTAACACAGAAGATCCTACGGGATTGTATTTTACTGTAATACAGTATGCATTGAGCAAATAAAGATGGGCTTCGTTAAAGTGACAACTCCATGTACATAGCTGTGAAGTTTTCTTCAATCAGCAACAACAATAGCCTAAATAAATAATGACCCCGCAGATCAAAATTTGAGATAATTGCTCCAACTTTAAGAATAAGTTTTGCCTAAAGTCAACTTTTGAAAACATGTTAAGGCTATTGACTTGAGTAGATTATTCGAGCTCACTCCCTTGTACATATCAGGGGGAGTTAACTTGAGGGGGAGTACCCTGTTGGTACTCAGTATCGAGAAGATACTCGGGTGCCCTGTTGTAATCCTTTTCCTTCGTGCGAGGTTTATTTTTCTCACAGGGTTTTCGTTACTCGACAAGGTTTTTAATGAGGCAACATATGTTGATTGAAAAGATTGTGCGTTGTACCCTTTTCCCTAACCGAGGTTGTTTTTTCCCCAATGGGTTTTATAACTCGAAAGGTTTTAACGAGGCAACACAAAAAGCACAATAGTGGTTCGATAGGAACCCAAGGGGGAGTGTTGTAAATAGTATGGAATGTGTGGTTTCCTAACATAACCACTTGATGGTTTTCAACTTCCCACTAGTTTATTAACTTCCCATAACTATTATATGGTGTTAGTGGCGATGTAACTTCTACGTAACTTCCACCTGTAACTCCTTTGTAGCTTCCCGGTGGTTACCACCTATATAAATGAGAAACATTCCCACCCCACGGATCCCACAATTATCTCTCTACAGATCTTGTTTACTTGTGTTCTCTCATTATCTCTATTATTGTTATTATGTTCTTATGTATTTCCACAATCACAAACCAAAGATCTAGATTAAATAGACGATTTTATAACATATTTGTTTTTTTAATTTTTATTTGGTCGTAGTCATCTGCAGATACATGTAGTTTCGTTTTTGTCTAATTATACAGCAGAATTAAAAAAACTATGCCATGCTATGGTACGCTATGGTATACTACGGTCTACTATGGTGTGCTATTCCGAACTCTATCATTCACCAACTCCCAGCCGCCGCCGAACCCTAACTTCCAGCATCTTCCAACCACCGTTAAATCATAGCAGCCAATAAATTTCAGCCACCGCCAAACCCTACCTGCAAAAACCTAGTCGTCCACCTACCCTAGCGGCCGAACAAATTAAACCCTAGACATCGACCAAATTAAACCCTAGCCGCCATAGCCGTCGACCAAATTAAACCCTAGCCGCCATAGCCGTCGACTAAATTAAACCCTAGCTGCTATAGCCGTCGACCAAATTAAACCCTACCCTACTTGCAAAAACCTAGTCGTCCACCAACCCTAGCCGCCAACCAAATTAAACCCTAGCCATCGAACAAAAAAAAATCGACCAAATTAAACCTTATCCGCCATAGCCGTCAACCAAATTAAACCTTAGCCATCGACCAAATTAAAACCTAGCCGCCATAGCTGCCACCATCAGCCGTAGATGTGACCTCCACCACCATAGTCATCGTCGCCTCCTGCCTCCATAAGCAACCCCTTATTAATGCCTCCTCCACCACCATAGTTGCGCCATAGCCATCGCCCCCTCAGTAATGGTGAGAAGTGATGCAGAGGGAGAGCGAGAGAAAGAGAGACGAGAGGGGGAAAACGAGAGAGAGAACGGGAGAACAAGAGAGAAAACGAGAGAGAGAGAGAGAGAGAGAGAGAGAGAGAGAGAGAGAGAGAGAGAGAGAGAGAGGGAAGAAAATAGTATATACCAAAGTAAAGGAGAATCTAATGGAAATTAGTATATACCAAAGATCTCCTACTTAGATTAAATGTATCTTTATAATCTTTCCAACTTAAAACAAATATATATATATATATATATATATATATATGGACTATTAGTGAGAATCCTCTCTAGTTTTATTTTAATGAGGATAGATCCAACTCATTTTCCTTTATTAGTGAGAGACCTATTCTTTTTTTATTCTCAAATTTACCCTTTCTCTGTTCACTACCTATTATACACTACTTTGATACATTTTTTATTTATTTATTTTTTTGAATTTTAATTTTAATTTTTGTTTTTTTATTTATTTCTTCTTTAAAAAAATATTTAAAAGAAAATATTCTTTTAACTTTTTATTATATTTTTCATAAATATTTTTTTACTATATTTTTTTTTCTTCAGTTAAAATAACTATATTTCAATAAAATAACTATTATTAAAATAACGGTTATTATTAAAACAATATGATTAAAACAACTATATATCTCCAGCAACTCTCATTTATCAAAATCAACTATTTGTTAAATCAACTATTATATTCAACTAAAAAGTAATAAAAACAACTATATTACTGTACGAAAACAACTATATTGTTGTACGAAAAATATCTATAAATCTATAAATAACACCACACAATTTCAACAAAAACAAACATCCATTATACTATTGATTGAATACAAAATTAACCTTCTATATAAGAATTCAACCAAAAACTCCAATTAAGAAAATTAAGATTCGAGAATTGGGTTCCCAAAAAAAACAAATCAGAGAAGAAGAAGAAGAACAACAACAATGAAACAATGTTGGCGGTGGTCTGTATTGAAATCTCAGACGCAATATCAACCCTAGCGCCGCTGTATAATCTCGTCTTTCTCCCTAGCGAAAACCCTAACGCCGTCCTTGATGAGAGAATCCCATGGGTGAAGACCGTCTTCTCGCGTCGGTGGAGGGAGGTAAGCCGTTGGGAGAAGAGAGTAACAATGGCGGCGCAGAGATGGAAGAGGGTTGGAGGCGGTAGCAGAACACAGATGGAAGAGAGTTGGAGGCGGCGATATGTAGAGAGAAAAGGAGAGAGAATAATAAGAGAAATAGAGAGAACATGAAATATGTTTGGTTATTTTAGATATAAGGGCAAATGACAAATAGACCCATGACAAGGGTACTTAATTAAAGGAGGGACATCCAACTTTTTTGTCTTTCAAATAAATCCAACCCATTCAAATTTATTTGCAAATAAGGAAAATCCCTTTATATATACCAAAATTACCCCCAAATTCATTGAAACCCAATTCAACTCCAATTTCATGATTTATACCCTAATTTAGCCCAATTTCATCAATGAACCAATTTTAACCCTAATTTCAATTTTGACCCGCCACCACCGGAGACCGCCGGTCGCCGTCGTTGACCGGCGTTGACTTTTTTTTTGTTTTTTTTTTTTTCGAAAAACTTTTTTTTCCTTGAATTTTTTTTCCGGCCGGTCAACTGCCGTTGACCGCCGGGTCTCCGGCGTTGGCTAGTTTTTTTTAATAATTTTCTTTTTCTTAAAAATAACATTTTAATTAATATTACTGTCTTGGCTGCTAAATTACTGTCTCCGGCAGTTATTTAACTGTCGGAGAGAGTAATTTAACTGTTAATTGATTTTTTTCTAAAAATATTTTAATTAATATTACTGTATTTGTTGCTAAATTACTGTCTCCAGCAGTTGTTTAACTGTCGGAGACAGTAATTTAACTGTTAATTGACTTTTTTATTCTTAAAAAAAATATTTTTAATTAATATTACTGTATGTGTTGCTAAATTATTGTCTCCAGCAGTTATTTAACTATCGGAGACAGCAATTTAACAATTAATTGACTTTTTTTTTTTGAAATTTTTTTTCTTAAAAAAAAATTTAATTAATATTACTGCCTTGGCTCCTAAATTACTGTCTCCAACAGTAATTTAACTGTCTTAGACAGTAATATTAATAATATTACTGTTCGGGAAAATAATATTCATATGTCTGAGACAGTAATTTAGAAGCCAAGACAATAATATTAATTAAAATAGTTTTTTTCTCAGAAAAAGTAAATTAAAAAAAAAAAAGTCAACGCCGGAATCTGGCCGGAAAAAAAAAATTCAGAAAAAAAATTATTTTCTGAAAAAAACATATATTTTGGGGGTTAATGTGATATATTTGTTTAAATCCAGGGTCAATGTGTAATTTTAAGGAAGTTAGAGCATAAAGGATGAAATTGATAAGAATTATATTATGGATGGTATTTTAGACTAAAGACATGAGGATGAGTTTAATTGAGAGACTGATTTTTTTTTTTTGGACCAAAATGCATTTAAGTCCCATGTGATGGGCCTTTTTGCCATTCGCCCTAGATATAATAGGGCAAATTAGGTATATTAGTAATGTCAAAAACAATATTAATTAAAAATAAATTATTTAATATAAGGTGGGGGGTTTTCACTAATAATGAAAAGGAGGTTATATCCACCTTAATATAGGTAGGGCTGGCAATCGGGCCATGTGAGTCGAGCTTGGGTTGGCTCAAGCTCACATACCATCGGACCTCGTTATTACAGGCTCAAGCTCACATACTATCGGGCCTCATTTGTATAGGTTCAAGCTCGGCTCGTGTATTTTTTCGGGTTTCGGGTTTATATCGGGCCCCATTACTATATAATTGTAATGAGTAAAAAAAATTATAAAAACATGTAATAAACAAGTTTTACCTTCATTAAAGCCAATCCTTCAAAACTTAAACGATATTTGCAAGTTATTGAAAATACTTAAAAACAAGACCAAAAGAAGTAAAAAGATTAGTAACTCTTATCATTGGAAACCTTTTATATTCTCAAATTTCTGTGATAAATTTCAGTAATTGGATATCGATGTATTTTTTGCATTTCATCCCTATTTTACTTATTGACCCCGCCACTGCCATCGCTACCACTTAATTCATTTTATTTTGAAAAATAAAATAATCTTATACGGTTGTAACTTGTATGTTTTGACAGCATTACAATAATAAATATATTATATATTTTATTATTAACCTAATCGATCGGGCCTTATTCGGGTTGAGCCATAGTAGGCTCAAACTCGGCTCATAAATAAGTCGGGTTTAATAAAATGGCTCAAACTCGGCCCGGCTCACCAAAAAGTAGGTTCGGGTCAAATATAATCGGGCCGAGCCATCGGGCTTCGGTTAGGCCCGGCTCAATTGCCGGTCCTAAATATAGGTAAATGAATTGGGGGTTTTCACTAATTATCCCATATATATATATATATGCAACAAAATATGGGAAAATTAGAGAAAAACCCGTCTAGGAAATATAGTTAAGAGAACATTTCCTCGCAAAGAATAATTAGAGAAAACTTCTTTAGCTATTCTACCCATGTGATATTTTCATAATTCTAAAACTACCTTTAATCATACAATTTCAAAACCATAATCTTCTTTTTAATTTTTCATTCTGCTGCTTTTCTCTCTTGTTTGTTTTCTCTCCTCTGTTTTTTTTTTTTTTTCTTTCTCTCTGTTTTTTCCGGCAATCTTCTCCGCCGCTGCCTCAGCCGTCTCCGGAAGATGGAGAAAGAAAGAAGAGGAAGCACCCATCAAACATTATAAATGATTTTGATAGTGCTTCTGAAATCGAATGCTAGGATTGCTACATCGGCGGCGAAAATAGGTAAAATTGTTGATTTGTCGCCGGAATCGGATTTTGATGGGTGGTGGTTTTACTTTGGTTGGTGGTGCGAGTTGTGATTTTATTTATTTATTTGTAATAAAAAACCGTCATAATATCAAAATAAGGTGGTGATGGTGTGTTGTGGCGGCGGTGTGGTGACGATGGGGAGGCAGATTTAGGATTCTTTGGTGGATCGAGCGGAAGACGGCGCGTGTAGAGAATTTCGCGCAGGCTGAAACCTTAATCGACTATGTACATGTTCATAGTCGATTAAGCTAATCGACTATGATCTGGCAGTCAATTAATGTTGATCGACTCCATTTTTTTTTGAATTTTTTGTTTATTGATTCCAATTGTATAAATCATTTATAATGTTTTTATATTTTTTGTTTTTGTAATATATAGTTGATTTTGCATTTTTTCGCAGTTGCGATTTGTTATTTTTAATAGCAAATTCTTAATCGACTACGCTTCACATCATTTTTTTTTTTGATTTTTTGTTTATTGATTCCAATTGTATAAATCAATTATAATGTTTGTATATTTTTTATTTTTGTAAAATACAGTTGAGTTTGCATTTTTGTAGTTGTGATTTGTTATATTTAATAGTCATTTCCTTAATCGACTATAGTTCATCATAGTCAATTTAATATGCTTCATAGTCGGTTAACATACCTAATAGGACAAAAAGTTAAAAAACGAAAAAAAATAAAAAAACAACGAAAAAAAATTAAAATAATAATATTAATAATAAAATAATAATAGTAGAATAATAATAATTAAAAAAAAAAAAAGGAAAAGACACAGGTGATGGGTCATGGGGTTTTTCTTAAATGGTACGAATTAGTTTGGGTCTTTCCCTATTAAAAAAAATATTGAGGGGTTTATATCGAATAGCCCAAAAAATATAGTTCAATAACAAAAAAAACTTGATTCTCTACAAGAACTAAACTTAATATACAAAATAAAATAAAATAATTTTAGTATAATTAAATACATGTAAGGGGTACAATATTTTAAAAGGAATTTATTAAAGAAAATAATTTTTGTGAATTTTATTAATTTTTGCCTTTCCTAAAAATTGTTAAATTGATATTCATT